TTTTTTTTTTTTTTTTTTGCTGCTGTTGGTGAGCTAGTTTAAAATAGAAACCAAATGATGCAATAAAGAAAGTGAATTAGCATGTTGTTAGAAATGAGCATCCTGAGGAGTTACAGAAACAGGTCAACATAGGGTTGGAATAACTGGATGAGAGCATCAGTCTTCTTGCTTCCCCAGCAGGGGCTGGCTGTAAAAGATGCACCTTCTCTCTGCAGTTCTTCATGAGAAATGGGCCCATCTAATAGACAGTTTTTTTGGGCTGTGTTGGACACCTTTCTCGTTTCTGAATGAATTACCTTTGGGAGCTGCCTGACTTTACTGATAAAAGGAGCCTAAGCAACAAAGTTAGGATTAACTTCTAAGATTGCTGAAGAGAAGTGAGAACTACACCATCTCAGGACAGTACACAGCGATGAGTGCAAGCTTTATAAAACTTGTAACAAGGGCTGGCGTGTTTCCAGCCCAAGGCCTTGGCATCTACTTTTCCCTGATGATAAATCCCAGTGAAGGCAATGGATTCATTTGTACTTAAAATAATCTTAAAAGAAGATTCTCACTCTCACACAGACAAGCACACGCATGTTTATAGTGGTCTTCAAGAATCTGCAAGAGAAAGTCTTTTTGTTTGAAAAGGACTTGGTATTTCAGGATTTAAAATTTCCTAACGGGCTAGAAATAAGCAGGGTCGTGTATAGTAAAATGTCGAAGATTAGAGGCATCAAGCAAATTCCATAGGGACCTGTATTGGAACCAGTGCTAACTGCAACTAATTTATAGGGATATGTAAATTGAACATTAATCAGATTTTCAGACAATAAAAATGATGAGGGATTGCAAATGCATTGGAGGATAGAAAAGAAAAAGAATGATCTAAGGAGTCTAGTGGCATGTGCAAACAACAGTAGGATAAGATTTAATTTAGATAGATGCAAAGTAATTCAGCTAGGGAATACTAATACTGAGCTGAAGAAATAAATTCATGATTGTAAAGAACAGGACTGTGACAGAGGTCACTGGGTGATAATAGATGACAAATTAAAGGCAAGGACAAAGTGTGATGCTGTTCCAAATAAATAATTTTATATTTGTTTTGTGCTTGTACAGGAGAAAGGTGTAAGAATTTAGAGACAAAGTAGTAATTACGTTTCTCCTTCCCTCCCCACTGTCTCGCTACATCTCCTTGGTAAGAAGGAAACACATGAGAGAAAAGTTAAAATAAATTACAAAGAATTCAATGAAGGATAATAACAATATGGAAAAGTAGATTGCAGGCCATGACCACAAAGAGAAATTGAAGGAACCAATAATGTACAATTCACAGAAAAGATTAAAAAGAGGATGAAAATATTTATAATACAACCAGAATAGAGGTCAAGGAGTTATTCTGTATGGTAAAGGACAGCTGAGAGTAACTTGAGCATTGAAAAGGGAAAATTACTTTTGACAGCAAAGGAAAAAAATAACCTGCCAATGACAGGGCTGATGAGACAGTGGAACGTTTGCTAAAAAACTTCTTAAAGACCCCATCACCTAGACTGCAGGTGGTCATGAGAGGACGTTTAATGAGTTCATTATGTGGAAGATGATTGTGTGTTAGGGCTGAGGGTTGAAATGGGACTCAGTAACCTAGGATACCTGTGCATTCCATTTATCTCTGATTCTGGGTATAAAAAATCAGAATACAGCATATATATTTTTATTCCACAGCTGTAAAGCCCAAAGAAATCTGAATTCATTCTTTGCTATTGTTATGGGTCTCAACACTGCATCCGTCAGCCGGCTGTCTCAGACCTGGGAGGTAAGACACATCTTTGTATCTTTTAAGCTCTGTCAAAACCATTTCTCACAAAGGTTGTACACTGGTGAATCACTTTTTCTTTCTAATTATTGTTTTTTCATGCTGAAATCAAAGATGGAGTGAGTGTCGGTAGAGAAACTTCTCTGTGGTCTGAAACCTTAGATATACAGCTATTCAAGTGACACTAAATGTGTCCTTCCAGAGCTTTTAAATAAGAATAAAACGAGGAGATCTTACCCTCTGGGAAAAAAAAACCAAATAACCAAACCAAAAAAAGTCAGGTAAATTATCCTAGCATTTTCAGTAGATGTCAGAACAGACAATCTTACAAAGGTAGCTCCAAACAAGCAACACCTTATTGTGGCATAATTTAATTTAAAAAAAATACAAAGTAGAAATAAACCCTTTTAAATTCTCCTTTATCAGCCCTTTTGCAGCTGCTCATCTTGTACAAGAAAGTTAGGAAATGGGCCATGAATAAGGAACATAGTGGAGAATAGAGACTATCTGCTAAAGAAGCTACTGGTTGCTAGACAGAACATGGGATGTTTAGATGAGGGTGCTGCTGGGACCTGTGTTTAAATTGTGGAAGTTTTTTTTTTTTCATCCAAGTAAATTATTGAGTGCTGGTATCTGCAAGTTAACTATACCTGCTGATGAACCAAAAACTGAGGAAGGAGTAATCTAGTGTAACAGGGTGAAGCTTCATACCTCCCCTGTGCCCCCAACGCCATAAGTGGCTATTACTCAAGAAATGGGAACCTGTCATACGAAGTGACAGAGAATGGCTGTGATCTCCTGCCTTGGAGATACCCTTGAGCATCAACAGCTGAAACCAAATGGCCATCAGGGACAAAGCTATCTGTCTAACACTCTCCAGAGCCAAGTCTTCCCCCTTAAATGAAGTCATGCATATGGAAAGATCTCTACCTGTGTCAGTGGCTTTGGCACAGAGAGAAACAAAGGCAGTAACTGCTTCTGTGGGGATGGGTTCGTAAGACTTGGATAGGCAAGGTGGAGCTATCTTTAAATAATAATAAACCAAAAATTTTCGAGAAAAATTACATACCTGAGGACAATGATATAGAAACTCTTTGTCTCTCCTACTTTTAAAATGCCTTGCCTAGGAGACAACATTTGCCCTTGCCTGCTCTTATGGGCTGCCTTCATCCCATTTCTCTGGGCTTTGGTAGGAGAGTGGAAGGGACTAAGTATTGTATCAAAGGCACCTGGTGCCAATGATGTAGATCTGCCCCCCAGAAGCACACAGCTGTGTGATGGGACCTCTGGAGATCGCGTGCTGCTGGTGGACTACTCTCAGGAAGAGCAGAATATAACACTTGTCAGAACAAGGAGTGCATCTGCACGTGTGTCATTGAAAATATGTCACGTTTCTGGGTGTAAAATATTTATGAAGTCACATGCTTTTTTTATTTGTAAAACTTTACTGCACTGGAAATTTCAAAAGCAGAAGGTTATTTGCATTAGTAATGTGACTTCTAGAAAGTAGAGCAATGTTTATAAATTAATTATAATTACTTACACATGTAAATGAAGCCACCTAAATTTCAGGAACCATTTAGACACTAAATTATATTGGCTCTGCTCTTGAATTCTTAAATAGCTAGTATGCTCCCAAGCATACTCTTCTACTTTTTTTCTACAGTATGCAGTGTTTTAATGAGCCTAACTTTCCCTGATTGAAGATACTAAAAATTTGCAATTGCAATTCCATGTTCAGTTATTTAAGCATTTTAACCATACAGAACATCCACTTAATCTTAATTGTTCTAAATCTCTTGTCTTTTGGTAGTGTCATTGTGGCTGTTGGGGTCTAAGGACAAAGGCAGAACAGGAATAGCGCTAAGAAAAGGTGTCTTTTTCTGGACTAAATACTATAGTTGGAAAAAGTAGACAGGCTTTAAGGTCCATACACTGCTCTTCAAGTCTGAAATACTGTCCTGGTCCAGCAGCAAAATTCAAACTGAAGAACAATTGCTTTGTGTATAATGAGGTGAAACCATTAAATTATGTTAGAGATAAAAGGAAGGGGATGTTTGTGGAGCAGAGCAGGCGTTAGCATATGGGGCAAGAAGGTAGTTGGTGCCTGAGCTCCCCTGGAAGGTGTTTCCTCTACCTCCCAGTGGGATTAAGGTGGGATACCAGAGATGGAATAATCACTTTTTAAGGAAAGTTCTCTTCCTCTGGCACTGGCATGTGCCAGTAGTAACCCTGGTCAGCTCTGGGGTGATGTTGTGCCTGTTAATGTCTAGAACCCATATTTTAGGGGAAGATTGATTGCATCAAATGCTGCAACCTGGATGTGATCACACTATCCGAATTCTCAGCCTGTGTTACTGCTTCTAGCTTGATACAGAAGGTAAATGCAGCAGACGTGGAAGCCAGGGAAGAAAATAAAAAGAGTTGCTAACAAGCGGTTTCCATAAAAGAGAGAGTCAGGTCCCTGAGGCGAGGCTGCAGGGTCTGGTACCTGACTGGCATCGCACCAAACGTGGTCTGTAATTAGGGCTCTTGGAGCTGAGGAGCGGAGGTTAACTCTCTGAGAAAGTGGCTTATTGGTACTTCCAACAGGCACTTCACACGTGGCAGTCTCATGGAAAAAAAAACGCCTCTGCATTTTTCTGCTTATGTTTTGTTTGTGGGTTGTTTGTTTGATTTTTAAATCAACTTTACTTTTTTTTTTCTCTCTGGTTTCCCCACTTCAGAAAATTCCTGGGAAGTTCAAGAAACTTTTCACTGAACTTGAAAGTTTGACGGTAAGTGGGGTGTTGACAGCGGAATGGCATTCGATGCTTGTCTTTACCTGCCTTCCTTCTTCCCTATTTATTTGGAGGCTGCCTGTCCTTGTCTGGAGCTGGGACTTGTCACGTCAGATCCGTGATTTGCCGAAGGCCACACAGCCCTCCAGAGCTCAGGGGTGGCCTCCACACACGAACAGGAAAAAGGCTCTATTCCTGACAGCTGGAGGAAGAGCAGAGAGAGGCAGACGTAGTATCAGTTCCCCAGCATCAATTGGGAAGCTGTTCTTTTGCTCTGGGGGTTAATCAGCCTTTATCCACAGCAACGTGCTGCAGGTCAGGAGAAAAGGAGGGCAGCTGAAGTTTAAAAAAAAAAAAATAAAAAAAAAAAAATAAAAATCCGCGGCTAAGAGTCTTTGTCACCATTATCAAAGCTGAATAAACAAGCGTTTCCTCTGGCTGTCGTGGAAGTGGGTGCGTGGTGAGATCACTGCCTGGCGGGGGGAACAGGAGCTCCAGCGTTAAGCAGTTGTCACGCTTCTGTACTTAGAGTCCTTTATAAATTCATGTGTTTTCAAGACCGTTTCTGGCGTACAGAAACGTTGGTTTATAAGGGAAGTTGAGATGACTTTTTGAATTACTTACGTAATGCCACTGAAACATACTCTCTTATTTTCTTTGAAAATTTCCAATAAGCTCTATTGATCTGAGAGCAGGTTTTGTTGGTATTTTTTTTGTTCTTTGGTGGTTCGGTAGTGTTTGTTTTTTTAAGAAGAAATTTATCAGCGATACATTCTGGGATACATTTTGTGCTAGGTAGTAAGCTGAAGAGATTTTGCTAATGGAAATTTGTGGAGAAATTAAAGAGCAGTCCCAGTGAATCTGCTCTGCAGCTTACTCCCATTTTAGCACTGCTTCATCTGAGGAGCATAATTGCTTTTGTTCCTTTCACTGTTTATGTTTCCTGTTCAGTTTAGTAAGTCACCTGCCTTAGAAAACCTTTATCTACCTCATTTCCGAAGAAACCTTTTATATCTAAATCATGTTCAGATTGTAAGCCCGTAATGGATTTAGAATTGCTGTTTTTATAGCCTATTGATTTTTCTCTCTATTACCCAAATGGCTTTGCAGGACCCTTCTCTGAATCACAAAGCTTACAGAGATGCGTTCAAGAAAATGAAATCTCCAAAAATCCCTTTCATGCCCTTACTTCTGAAAGGTAATGTTAAAGTTTGGCTACTCCTCTTCATTGTGCAAGTGCATGTATGGAGATTTGTAATGGTTGATTAAAAAAATATAAGGTGATTTTTTTCCTTCAGGTGGCTGTATGGTAAGTATGTGGCAGATGCCTCAGCATCTACAAGGTAGTACTTGGCCTAGATAAATAAACTGCTGCTTTATAAGGTAGGGGGAAGATGGCAATTTTCACACAGGATTTTGAACTTCAGTGCCTTCCCTGCCAGGAGCAGGTAGATCAGTGTGTGCCATTGCTTTGGCCACATCCTCTGGATGGCACGGGTGGCCCTGGCCACGCTCTATTTGGAGGTGGTGGCCCTGCCTCCCCACAGTGAACTAGTGTCATCCTGAAGGCAGAACCTGCCCCATCTGTCTGTCCTGAGAGGAGGGGATTGTCAAGTCTCTTACAGATCTGAAAAAGAGAGATAAAATCTCACTTGAAAAAAAAAAAAATTTAAAAAACCATTAAAATAAAATGCAACGACTTGCTTAACACAGTGAGCTGGGCAGCTAATTAGGTGACAGGTATTTAAAATATTCCGTTGTCTTGGAGTCATCAATTATTAATTGCCTTGTCTTTGAACATGGCAAGTTCATTTGATTATTCCTGTATTCCGAAAGTGTTCTCTTTAGGCTGTTTATTCCAACCTGCTGCTGCTGCTGCGAGTTTAAAATGTTTGAAGACAGTTCTCCAGATCAGAGGGTGACAGTTTGGGAGCCATCAGGCACTTCCCCTCTTTGCACACATCAAAGCAGTTTGCATTAATTCAGATGGATACAATTATCAAGGCTTCAAAATCAATATTTTTTAAGTGGTCTCGAGTTTTGTCTTGCCTGCAAACAAAGGCAGCAAACATAAAAGAGTAACTTGTAGCAGTGATGTTTGTGTACCACTGCAATGTGGTGTATAAGAACATGCACCCAAGCAGCATTCGTGTCTGTAAAACTTATTGGATGTAGCAAGGAGACTTTGCAAAGTAATACAGTAATCTTCTTCAGTACAGTGATCTGTAAGGAGATCTTGCCGAGGTTGGTAATTCCCAAAGTACTGCACACTACATAGGACTTTAATACAAACAGGCTTAACATGGAATAACGGTATTTCCAAGACCAATAAAATAAGCATTGATAGCATAGAAGTCATTAGTAACTCAACAAATTACAGTATTTCAGCACAAGAGGAACAAAAGTAGTTTCAAGAAAAAAAATGAAAATCATTAATAAACTTTTTCTCACTATGAAAAATAATTTTAGAGTGTCCTTTTAAAGATAATTAAATTTAAATGCAGGGCTCTCTTACAGCACACAGACACAGCTTCTGGAAATCAGGCAGGATTTTCAAATATGTAATAAAATACTGTGATGTACCCTTACAGCATAGCTCAGATGCAATTTTCTGCTCCACTGAATTTATCTAGACTCTCAGTTGTTGGCTGCAAAGCAAATTTCTGTTCCTTCCACCTCAGAGACATACACACTGCTGTCACTGACTTAAAAAGCTGCGTGGAAATTTCTGCTTCCAGTATAAGTTTGTCATTAGAAGTGATGGATGGTTTTTAACTGTATCTACACAGAGACAAGTAATGTCTATGTCCTGAAGCCATGTCCCTTCCCTGTCCCTTTCCCTGGGCGCCCCAAAGCAGCCCAGCAGTGGGGGTGTAGAGGGCCCTGCTCCCTCCTTTCCCCCTGATTTTTAGGATGCTTCCCAGGGGCAGAGGGGAGTTGGAGGCATCCCCAGCGTATGCTGGGCTTGCCCCACTTCCCCAGGTGTGCCAACTGGACCCAGTGTGGCCAGGCTGGCATCCTGCCTGCCCGAGGCAGACCCCAGCCCAGCTGCCCTGGGGGTGCAGGAGCTCCCCATCACCCCACATGTGGGGCCCTGGGTTCCCAGGGCCACGTGAAGCCATTAACATTTCCATTGTAAGCAATCACAGAATGCCCCTCGGTCACAGAGCAAGTTTTTGAAACAAAAGGAAATAAATCAGGTTGGCTTTTTGGGGGGAGGCTGAAGGAGGGCTGGGTGTGACAAAGCAGCTCCCAGTGTCAGCAGTGTCCTGAAACTAAGAGGACTGAGTGGGCATCAGAGGAGTCCTAGAGATGAAGAGAGGAGAAATGCCGAGATGCAGAGTTACCCTGGTGGGTTGGTACACAGCTGTGCCTTTTAAGAAGTAATGGCGTCGGAGTGCTGCCTCACTCATTACAGTGGCATCTCCTCCTGGTACTCCTGGGTACCCACACGTCCAGGAAAGAGCTGATAGGGGACATGGTGGTGGTGCTCCTGATGGTATTTCCAGTGACCCAGAGGGTGCACTGTTGGAGGCAGAGCTTCAGTCTCCACGAGGAAATCCGTGGAAGTCCGTGTCCTTTGTACTTCATGAGCAAGATAGGACTTGCTTTGTGTCCTAATATGCATTAGAAAAATGGAGAAAATGACCTCAAGTTACTGTTGTAATTGTAATCTTAATTTAGCAACATTTGTTTCACCTGATAGTCCCCTCTCTCCAGTTCATTACACCATGTTCAGTTCCCTTCCTGGAGCCAAATATAGACCTTTTCCTTTTCCTCTCACTGACCTTTTTGTTGCCTTTGCAAATTCTCTCCAACACCACTGTAAGTGGTTTTCCCTGGCCACAATGCTAATTTCAAGGCTTTGAACTTCAGTTTGGTGGCTCGTGTTTAGCATGCTGGCCACTGCTGTAGCCTCCATCCCTGAGGAGGGACTTCAGCGTCATCGTGTCCCACAGAGAGAGACAAAGGGGTGTCAGAGCCGAGTCGAGGCCTGGTGGCTTTGGCCCCATGGAGCCCTGGGCTCAGGGACCAGCCAGCCCCAGCCTGGGCACAGCCACGGGCAGCATGGCCGGGTGGGTGCCACAGGGTGCAGAGAGCGATCATCCCATGTGGGGCCACCCCTCTGGATGCCTCCCCCTGCTCCTGGCCACCCTCTGTGTGGCCAGGATACACACCCCAGAAGTAACACAAACCAGGTTTAATAAGAAATCCATCCTCCCCCTTGAAAATCCTCTTGTTATGATGCCTACATACTGTTGTTATCTAATAATCTCTGCCTGTCATCATTATACCAGGCTTTTGTTCTGCTGTTATAAGGCATTGTGTCAGTCCTTAATGGGATGCTTTCCTCTTTTTTCTTTTTGTTCCTGTTTAGTCATTTTATTTCTTTGTATTAAGCAACAAAGCCCATGAAAAGTAATTCTTTTTTCTTTATTTTTTTTTCAGATGTAACATTCATTCATGAAGGAAATAAAACTTTTCTGGATAACCTTGTTAATTTTGAAAAGCTGGTAAGCTAATTTTATCTTTCCTGTTTTTCAGAGATTCACATTCTCTTCTTTCCTTTCCCCTCCTTATCTTGTAACACTAAAAGATTTTCTTCTGACTGAATCAGGAAGAAGTAAACAGGGGTAAAAAAGAGCAAACAGGATGAAACAGCCAACAGTTTATCTCTCCTGCCCCTTTTCTCTGTTCCCCTCTCTTCTCACTCCTTCCTTCCCCAACTTCTGTGTTGGGGCTAAATGGCTAAACAGTGATGGCCAGTGGACACAGTCCACTCAGTTTTCTGTCCTTTGCACCACCTCGTGGACTATTTACCCTCAGTGAAGTTCTCCTGCTTCAGCTTTCTCTGAATTTTGTTTCCTGTTTTTTCTCGAGGCATTAAATAAAAGGGTTCTCTAGTTTATCACTTGCCAGTGGTATGCTAATTCGAGGGGTCTTAAATGAAAGTAAAATTTTCGATGTAGGTTAGATGATGTAGAAAATAATGCCTGAAATATGAAATAAGCTGACTATAAATACCACTATACTATGTAGAAGGGCACTTACTGACATTGTATCTTCGGTCACATCTACTCCAGCCATATATGACACCTACTCTGGCATGATATTACTGATAGAGGTTTGATTTCTCTGATTTGCGTATTTCATTTCTTTGTTGATAACATTTTCGTAGCACTGAAAGCCACAGTTTGTATATCTGAACAGTGGTGGAGAGGAGAAACTTTGATTGTTTTTGGTTTGCCTGGAGTATTTGATCAAGAAAACCCAAACGTCCTTCCCAGTTGCTGTAGGTGTGCGATGGGACCTCAGAGCAGATGGCTGCGCCTCGTGAATTGTTCCCAACTTTTTTCTCCTCCACTTTCTTCTGTTTACACTTGTTTGAGGATTAACATGCAACCGTGGAGTTATTAATGAACCAGATGTTGAACTTATTTTCATACCCTATCGTAATGCACGTTGTCTTTCAACTTGCAAGCAGCTGTAGGCTTTGACTTTTGAACCTCAGCTCCTCTTTTTGTGTTTTCTGTTTGATTTCTGTACCTTTTCTTGTTGCAGAGTTTACGGGAACACTGATTTGCATTTAATGAAAGGTTTTCTTGTCCCAAGTCCATTAACTGTTTGACCTTTAGGTGTTTGCATAAAACTCATTAGCATGTTCTTCTTCATTGCCTCTTGGAAGTACATCCAATTAACATGTAAATTAAACTAGCCCTTGATGCACAATGATTGTCACTAAAATCCCCCTACTGGCCCATATATTTATTTAGCGAATATGTAGGATCTGATTCTTGTTCCAGTCTTACCCAGACCTTGTTAGTTTGTTTGTTTGTTTGTTGTTTAATCATGTATATGTTTAATGTATGCTGGGCTCACTGGGTAAGATTTTCCATCCTTTCTGTCACTATTGTGTCTCCAGAGGCAGTGGGAGCTTTGCTAATTGACTTCAGTGAGCCAGGATTTCACCTTTTCCATGCAAATGGATAATGGGCATTTTAAATGGCAGGGGGGGAGAGTCTGAGGTGATGGTGGTGGGGTGAGGGTTGTTCAAACTGACACTTCCTCCAAATTAGTAGTCAGATCATGCCCTCAGGAACGTGCAGTCTCATGCAGCCCTGCCTACATATGAATGCAGGCAGTAGTGCAAGCTGAGGAAGTGGGGGCTTAGGAGAGATTTAAATAGAGTGTAGTGGAAACTCAGGCACTACACCTATTCATTTGGATGCTAGGGTGTGTAGTCAGTAGGCATGAACTTACTAACAAGATGCATCACACATGCTCATGCATACATACATCAATTCACGTTTCTTTTCTAATTATAAGGGCTTTGTGCCGAGGAAGAACAGTCTTCCTTGGTGTTCTATACTGTGCTGAGTGCTTTCTGGTCTCTGCTGAGAAAAATTGGGATTGACATTGAGTCCTGCTTGACTTGGATCAAGCCACTGAACCTCACCTGCAAATTTGCTGTTGCAGAAAAAGAAGAAAAGAATTATTCTACCATAGCAGATTACTGCTTTGGGGAAGGAACTCACTGTCACAAATGCAAAGAATTTCTACTTATGAATTTCAAAGCAAAGATGGTTTCTCGTGTCTCCATTTGGATCAGTATTTTGAAATATTTCATTTCTGCATTAAACATCTCACTTGAAGGAGAACTTGTCAGCCTGAACCATTGTTTTTTTCCAACTATATCAGTTGGTTAAATAAAAGAAATTCTCTCTCCCTGCAATCCCTCCTTCTTTTATATTCCTAGACCATCATGGCCTCAACAATCCTACCGTGACTGAACTTGATTTGACATGACGTGATTGCAGCGAAGACAAAGTTAATTCAAAATATAAATAAAGGGATTTGCAAAGAGAAGAAAATGATACAATCTTTTGTCTCTGGAAAGTTGCCTAGTTTTAGCAAAAGTTGAAGGGATTGCAGTGATTTATTTAAGTCCATGTTGGGTAAACTAGTCTAGAATATTGTTAGATCAATTTTTAGTACCATAGCCACTTCCTCAACTAAATCTGAAGGAATAAATGAAAACACGGTCCTATCCTGTTGCATCTCAAGGTATTTCCATGGGATTTACTGAGTTGCTTCACTGAACTGTGGCTTCTTCAGGCATTTTTCTCCAGTCAGCCATCACCCATATCTTAGCAATGATATGTCTTAGCCACACTCCAGCAAACTCTAATGCAGGTCAATGGCCATTACTGTTTTAGATAATGCCTTCTTACCTGGTGTCTTCAGCTGTAAGGACTGTGTACATGCAGCTGAAGGCTCTCAACCCCCAGCCCTCAAGCATCTGCAACTCCCAAGCTTGAGTTTTTTGCTGTCCTCAGTTCAAGGAGTGCTAATGATCCTAGGTAACGGGTAGGCTGAAAGGCCATGAGAAATGTTTGTTACCCATCACACTGACGGTGTGCAAGCACCTGTTTAAACAATCAGGAAAATAGCATTTCCTTCGCAGATGAACTGGCTGATTTTCTGTATTAGAACTGAATCCCAAAGAGCTGAAAGCAGAGAGAAATGCCCAATTTGGCTTCTAAAGACAGGAGATTTGGGATTCTGCTTTAAGAGAGTGTAACACAAAGAGACTCTTCTGTTACCAGAACATCACCTTCAGAAGCCAGTTTTGGGATGGACCCCCACACTGACTGACTACAAAGGAGAAACAGCAAAGAATGACAGTGTGTGTGATAGAGCGGTCTCTCTTCATTCTAAAATCCAAATGCAAAGGGTGTCAGGTGGAAAACATCGCAGCAGCACTGGTGGAAGTTGTAGCTCTCTCAGTACTCACACTATTGATCATGAAATCTGGATCATCTCATTAGAACTTCATTATAATCAGTGCAAGGACATCAGCACAAGAGATTGCATGATTTCGTGGCAAATGAAGCACAGCGGGTAACAAGAAGAATTATTTTGACTCACTGATGAAAGGAATATGAAGTTTCCATTAAACATGCTCTTGTGATAAGCTTTTCTGTGGAAGAGCCTTGTAAGCCACTCCCAGGGTGTTGAGAGATGAGCTGTTCTGCGTCATTCTGGTCTTAAACATGCTCTGCTCAAGACAGTTAATCCTTTCCGCCTCTGATTGCTTTTGTGGGAGATGTGAGAAGAGCATCAGCTGTTTGCATGAGCTATTATATCATTCCTGTTAACTGCAATTTGCTTAAATTAATTACTAGATTTGGTGAAGAGTTGCCACAGAAGCAATCAAATTAAAAAAAAAAAAAAAAAAAAAAAGAAGTGATGCCTTAAGAACATTACGGGCAACATTTAGTGAAAATGAGTAGACTCCACTGCTTTAGAGTGAACAATTCCAATTTTCATAAGTTGAAGACCCAAGCCTGAATGAGAAACCAAACTTAAACCCTTTATTTCCTCTGCTTAATCTAAGCAAAAATCCAATATCCCCAAAGCACCAGCTTTTCTTAAAACAGTGTACCTACCCTATTTGATACGTGTCTGCAGAGATGTCAGGGTGTTTGGTCTGCAACGTTTAGGCTATGGGTGGGCTGTTTTGTGTTGGTTATTGTACTGCAGAAAACTGCCTGGCTGATCCTGGTGCCTGATTGTGCTAGGCATTATACAACTATAGGTTAAGGCATAATCTGTGCCACAAAGGGGCTTACAGTCTAATTAGGTAACATGTGGAGACAGGAGAGATTGCAGACTAGAGAATGCCCTGGATAATGCACTAAATCTGGGGGTTGAACCCAGAAGCACCCACCCAGTCCACAGGACTTCCCTGCTGCAGGCTTTCCGTTTAATAAAAATCACAGGAACGAAAATAAACAACTGTTTGGCTGTTTGTCATTAGCACTTTCCACAAGCTCTTAAGGAGTTGTTCTCATTTAATCTGTGTGGTATCAATCAGGACCTCCTGGACCAGCCCTGTTTCATCATATATTATTACTAAGACAAAGAGCAAAGTATCTCTCCTGCTGTCTTCATTTTCTACATTACTACAGTTGCTTCTTGCTCTACAGTGTAGGGAAGGAAATTGTTTCAGGCTTTTCTAATGGCAGAATCCAACTCAGATTTTTGTACTGATGTTTTATGTCTTTCCTTTGCAGCACATGATTGCAGATACTGTTCGGTCACTGAGACATTGCAGAAATAACCAGTTTGGTGAGTAGCCAAAATTTCCTACTAATTTTGCCTTTATACAGCCTGGAGGGTTTTTTTTTTTTCCCTGCTTCCTTTCCACTTGGTCAAGTTTACTACAGCAGCAAAATGTGGTTGACAATTATTTAATGGATTAGCAAGAAAGGGCATTATTGTTGCAAGGTCAACATGGCAGAAACCACAGTTAGATGAAGTTTTACTTTACAAAATGTTTGTAGAAACAGTTTCTAAACTTTTTATAAACTATTTTCCTCCAAAAATTATCAAAATACTGCATAAGATCTGTGCTGGCTTCACTTAATAATGGAAGCCTCTGATGTAGACTGCAGTTTCTCACTTTCTCACTATAACGGAGTTGCCTCAGTCTCCCACCAGTCGCTGTGTTTTGGCAATGGACTCACAGCTGTCTTGGCTTCTAGTACCTAAAAGATGATACTCATCGCCACAGCTTTTCGCTTGGCTTTTCCCCAAGAGCAATTGTTTGCTTAGTTTGGGTTCTTAAGGTCGTTTCACATAAAGCCTTGAACGTACTGAGATCCTCTGGGTTTCATGAAAATAGTTGACTTAGGCAGGAAAGAAGGGGTTGTGTTAGTACCTCTGCTAGAAGAAGCAAATAGAGCTCTGCCTGCTTTAGACACTGGAAGATCTACACCGATGGGAACAATCACGAGTGCCTCAGCTGCACACAAGACTTTTTTTGTGTATTTCCACCTTATTAGCCACCAGAGGATCCCACCCTAAGGGACCATGCCAGAAGACCCCAGCTCACTTTGTTTTGCTGCTCATGGAGTAGAAACCTTCTTTTTCTCCTTCTCAGCATTTCTCATTCTCTGCAGAGTGGTTAAATACAGGAAGGGGACAAACACAACGCTACTTTAGGAAGTGGTTAGTTTTGAAGCCAAACCCACTAAACATGTCATTTATTGAGGCCACTAAAACCGATTTTCCAAAGAGAAGCTCAGAACTGTGCTGCAGCCTTGGGGAAAAAGAGTTGGAATCATTGGTTTTTTCCAGCTGAATTTTCAGCAGCCGTCAGCATGGGCTCTGACAGAAATAATAATAATAATAATTTTGTGTATAAATACATGTACCTTGGAGAATGATAGGTACTGTTAAGGGCTTGGCTGAACATTTGTTCTGTAGAGTTACCATGTGCATGTACAGTCTTTTTTTTTATACAAAGGCTGCTCAGTATTAGGGTTCTTGAGTTATTTTGTGATATATATATGAGGGTGACTGGGAGGAGGATGATGTGCCTTTCATGTTTATTCTGTTAAACCAGATAGCAAAGGAAATATTGATTAATCCAAACCATGCCTCTATAAGTTAGAATGTCTCTTATTTAACACCATAAAATGTAGCATTGGTTCCTTTTAATGATGTGAGGTTTTTTGCAGCTTTTCTGTAAATCTTTCATCTCGTTTTTCCCTTTTTTTTCCAAGTGGTTTTGTAAGTGTTGCAACATAAATCCAAGGTTAATACCTGAGATTTATCATATAATCTGGTAGCTTGAAGTACGTGATTGTTATTTTATTTTACCACAGACTTGATTTATTGTGAAGCTGGCATTTAAAAAGCAGCTTATACAGACATCCCTGTAGGCATTTTTTTTTTTTTCTTAAATTCGTTTAGGCATGAAATGAATTCACTGAATATTTATTGAGACTTTATGGACAGTTTCCTTTTCTAGTGGGCTTATTTTGCTCTCAGGAATGTGAATCTTTCTACTGCATCAGTTCCCAGATTGGCCTAAGAGCAGCAGACGTCTCACTGTAGGAAACAATTCAAACAAAATGATGCAAGGAATATTATTATTGTTTATGAACTGTATCATGTGTATTAACCTTGCAGGCCAAAGTCTTTCTGGATTAGAAACTGGTTAGGTTCCAAGACTGAAATGCCTTTTTAATGGAAATAATACTTCTGTATCCTAAATCCTGAAAACAAATAATAGCATTGGCAAAGCAGCCTGAGAAAATAACAAAAGTCAAGCTTTTTTTCATTTCAGGTGTTAATGAGAAATACAAATGTTTTTCAGTACATTCAGCACAGCTGCTGGGATCCTATTCCCTTGAACAAAAAGGTCATCTCTGTACCCTGACACAGATTTATCACGTTGTCCTCTTCTCTCCCACATTTCTCAAGTTAGAGAGCTGCTCAGAAATAGCTCCTAAAAATAGCTGCCCGGGAGCCCCGTTAGCAGCCACACGCAGAGCTGGCTGCATTGACATCCCGTGGTACCTACACAGCATCATGCAGCCTTCTCTAGAAACAAGTGGGATGGTCGGTTCCTGGAAAGCTTCTGGTGTAGCTGGAGAGCGTGGAGAAAAGGATGACAGTGAAACAAAGGAGAGGGAGGGAGCGTGCGAGTTAAGCTGATTGGTTCGGGGAATTTTGAGGGTTTTCCTTTTTTTAATTCATGGTAATGTTATTAAGAATTCCTTGAGGACATGGAGTAGTTTGTCTCATTTGTCAGCAGAGTGTGGGGAACATATCTGGTTACTTTCTCTGCCTGTCTTGATGGGGCTCGTGGCCATGGGCTTGGCTTTTCCTTTTCCACTTCTGCTGGTCACCAGCCAGCAGCAAGTTCCCACAAGCCAACGTCAGGCATAAAGCTTGTAACAGAAAACATCTGCTTTTCAAGCCACCCTTCAATTTGTCTGTTACACAGCTAATTCCTCTTGCCGTGTAAGCCCCCGTGCAATGACAGCATGACTCTCGTCTCTGGTACGAGATCAGAAATCAAAAGCATAACAGATCAAAACGCAGGGGCCTGTCAGAGCAGCTTTGAAGAGCTTTCCCATCCATCTCCCGCGCTGACATCTTTCACCTGCTCTGGAGGAAATCATCCGGGGCCTGCTGGCTTGTGTACTTGTGTTAAGGTTGTTTAAAAGTTACAGGCTGGGTCGCCCACCCCTGGTCAAAGTCCTGTTGTGCTGCCGGAGTGACACAAAGGAAATCTTGAATGACCCCCTTACAGGGGACGGACTCCTGCCAGCAGGAGTAAAGCTTCCACTTGGGAAGAGTCAGCTTCTTGCCATCCCCCTGTCCCTCCTGGCTGCCCAACATTGCCTACTTCTTTCTTTCTTCTTCCCTTTTCTATATCTAGCCATTACCTCCTTCATTGCACTTAAACATCAAGTCCTTTGGAGCACTGGTTGTCTTTTTTTGTGACTCTAGCACCTGACACGGTGGCGCACAAGGAACTTGGTAACACACAGGACAGAAAAGCAGGCAAGGCATTGGCTTTCTGACCCATCCCCTTTCTCTTGTCTTGCAGGCAATGAAGTTCCTTCAAAAGAGCATCATGAGCTGAAGCCATACGTCCATCACCTGCATGTCATCGACAACCAGCAAGCTCTCTTTGAGCTTTCTCACAGGATAGAGCCGCGCGTGTGAGCGTACACAGCTTCCTATAACCTTGTAACTGCAGCACTTTGAATTAAGTGAATGTTTATGCCAAGCATGTTGCTTCCCTATATAAGAACGGTTTACTGAGTTTTATCAGTAGCTCACACAACATGCGCAGGAAAATCAGGCACGAGCCAGCAAAGGAGCTGCTCCCAGAGTGACAGGGCAAGCTTGGTGCCATCCCCGCTGGTCACCGGGACGGGAGGGAGCGGAGCAGCATCCTTTGAGCTCGGGAGCTTGGTTTCTGTGAAAATATAGTTTGGTCCAGTGTAGCTTTCAACGCAGATTCTGCCAGTATTAGTATGAAAGGAATCGTCGTGTCACCGCCGCAGAACATTTCAGCAAGCAACGTGCCGCAAAGGGATTGATGGCACCTCTCCAGTCCAAGGGTGCCAAAACCACTCTGCAACCCGTGCAGCTCCCCTGAGTCGACTGGAGCATCGTACACCTGAGCTAAGTGCAGACCACCAAGAATGGGAATATAAAAAAAGACAGAGCACCAGGTGAAACTCAAGAGCGCGTCGTGATGCAGAGGTCAGCAGTGAACAGCCCACGCTGTTGTGGTCCCTTAGGAATCTGCTTTATAAAACACACCGTAAGAGCCAGTCCACCTTTGTTGCAATTTATGGACACAATTGTTTGTACACTGAAAACGTGTTATTTTCTTCCTTCTCAGTTTTCCCAGATTTAGCACCAGCTCCTGCGGTTAACGTGGTATAAATTATTATAGCGGGAGCTTTGTTTTCTGCTTGGATTACGGCCTCCTTGGTGTCTATTCAGAAGGTAATGCCTCGACCCACCCACATTCCTAACTAACCTACTGGAAATACCGTTTCAGCAGGTAAAACTTCACCTAACTTCCACACACGCTTCTAATTTTTAAAGAGTGAAAGGTTACACCTTCCAGGGTGCCAGTGTGATTACCTGAGCACACACCGTCCCCACAGCATCAGGGTCCCTTCCCAGCTTCTGTCCCTCTCACACCCCTCCCCGAACCATGCTCATGCAGCTGTCAGTACGACTTCTGGGCATGTACTGAAGCAGCATTTTTTTAAAGTCTTATCTACAGTTGACCTGCATCTGAGCACCACCATCACCATGGCTCTCCGTGCTTAGAAGTTGCCCCGAAATAATCTGGTGAATGCCACAGGCGATGTGCAGTGTTGCTACACGGTTTGGGACGTGTTTGTGCATTGGCTGGAGGTAAAGGTCCCTTTGCAGAGCAGGGAGGATACATTCCTTTGCTTGCCCATCTCTATTATGTGTTTTCCACGTGAGGAAGACCTCCAGGAAAATGCTCCTTTACTGAAGTGTGGGAATACTGAAGTAGCATGCTCTTCATCATTGTGTTATCTCTCGTTTAAAGGGATTTAAAAAAAAAAAAAGCAGCTTTAACAAGTAGTCTGTGGGGGAATCTGTAGACTGCATTCCGTTTTCCCATCTGTGAAATATTGTATAGATCTATTGTAAAGGAAACAGATGTTTCAGAAATGTATTTGCTTGTACTTTGTTATTATCAAATGCTATATGATTTTTTTTTTTTTTTAAGAAAAAAAATCTTCTTTTTACCCAGTAAAAAGAAAAAAAAAATAAACTCTTGCTGGCCATGGAGTAAAAATTTCCTATGTTCTTCTGTAGATGTGACTGCACATATTGTAAATAACTCTTTTGTGCAAACAGACCAAAACTGTTCAGATGAGGATACTGGCTGCAGTGGGCTCTTTTTTTGCAGTGTAAGAACATAAACCAGATACAATTTGCTGCTTGTGTTATTGCAGTTCTTCCTCTGGCTCCAGCGCTCCCCACATCCCCATCCCTAGCACCTTACCTGGGTGCTTTGCTGGGTTTTGAGCTCCCCCTTGTGAAATCTTTTTTTTTACTCTGGCATTATTTTTAGGAGCCTGTACGTAGACCAGCCTGCATGCTTTTAGCTCGTGTGGTGTAGCACTCTGGTCCACAAATTGTTCTCTTTAAATCTGTGGGAGAGGGAGCAGAAGAAAGTATTCAGGGTGAGAAAAAAGTGGGGCTATTTCTACTGTGTTTGGCTCTGTGATAGTTTTGGTAGTTAATGCTGATGAAGCAGCAGTGGTGCCAGAGAAGAATAAAAGAGAAGGAAATGAAAAAAGGGGAAGAAAGAACGAAAGAGGAAAAAAAACCCAAACAACCCCAAAAAACAACCCCTCAAAAAAAACAGAAGAAGGATGACTCTGTGCTCAGGCTTTGATCTGAAAAGAGCCACCTTGCTCTGCCAGTTTGAAATGGTTGAAGGAAATGGTTGGGTTAACCTGTACCAGTAGGATTCAAGCTACCTGAGCCGTGGGGCTCTCTGCACCGCTGTAACTTTATACTAAATGTGGTGTTGCCTACCCCTTGCAGCTGGCATAAACTCAGTCTGAGGGCATGTAGCCAGCATTAATCTCATTATCTGTATCGTGGCTAATTAGACTGCTGTTTAAAACTTTACAAACGACTTTTCGTGGTGGCCTGTATAATTAGGATATAAATTTCTGGTCAGAGGGGCCATTTCATATTGAAAAACATGGATATTGTAACTGTTACCGTAAAGGAAAAGCAAATAGTCCAAATCTGTAGCTTATATGTCTAATTAAAAAAAAAAAAAAAAAAGCCCATTAGTCTTTTTTCAACAGGTGAAGCGTTGCAGAGCTGGGCTGCAGACTGGTAAGCAGTTGGAAGGTGTGGTGGTTGGGAGGAGAACTAGAAGTAAGCCTGGTGAAGGAGAGGGGAACACTACACAGCCTCTGCCAGGGTCTGGCACTAGGGAGATTGTGTGATTTTTTTTTTTTTAAATCCTTCAATAGCGCAATTACGTTACGTAGGATAAAATCCATGAATCTTGTAAGTTCAGTTTATCACAGTCACACCTCTGTATATTTTCTTTAGTAGCTAGGAGGAGGAATTAGACAACACAAAGGAAAAAGCTGGGTCGCTTTATACCTCTTTGATGTGGGATTTTGTTGCATCAAATTTAGATGTTTCTATGACACATCTTTTTGATTCCAGCCCCGCCTCAGATGGAAATAAATTGCATTTACATGACAGTGGCAAAAAAAAAAAAAAAGGTGTTATCTGAAATAATAAGACATACGCTGCTGTAAAATTTCAAAGAAAGATGTAAATACTAAACATTTTAGCAGAGTAATATTTATTTGCATAGCCTATTTATTGTCATCTTATTACACTGTTAAAAATACTGGGATGAAGTCAATGAGCTGAGGTAAGAACACCTGCCTGTTCCGTTCTCTCTGAGTGCCATAATGCTGTCAGCTTGCATTAAAAGTAATAAAATAGAAAACCCCAAATCAAGGTATTTACCTAACTTCTCAGGGACTACAGCGAGTAGTTATCCACCGTTTTGAGACCTGGTATGTATGAAATAATCTGATTTACCAGAATCAATGTTGCCAATGTTTTCCTTTTCGTATTTCATGCTTGTCTGCCTCTGTACATATTGTGTTGTGTATTTATGAGAGCTAGTAAGCAATAATTTATATGTCAAAATGGCCAAGCAATACAAGGTTAAAACTTGTAGAAGCAACTGTTACATTTATCTTGCATTTTCCAGTGTTTTTTAATATTGCTTTTCAAAATATAAAAACTACCTTAATGAAGCCTGGGCTCCGTGCCTTCATGCCTACCACACGGACTTACTGTGCTTAAATGGAATATTTTACGCTCGTATTTCTAGTGAGTTGGTTCTGCAAACCCTGGCTGTGTTTGAGGTGGACGCAGAAGCAGCGTGTGCCTGGGTAGAGGCTGAGGAGCCCGACCCCGTTCAGAGCTGGTCAGTGGGATTTGCTGGTACCGATGTATTCCGGGCAGTTTCAGAAGCAGGGATGATGTTAATGGGGTCTCAGCTGTGCCTTATCATCACGGTGCAGTCTGAGAGGGGCCTGGAGCCACCATGAGAAGTCCCTGTGGGAGAGGGGAGGAGTAAATCTATCCTCACATCCTCTGGAGGCTGCTTATCAGTGCTCCATCCTCTTACTGAGGACAGCCCGTGCTTTCCCCTGTCACCAGGCGTCCCTGCAGCGGGGAAGGCAGAGCCCGTGGTGGGCTGTGAGCACGCTGTGATGCAGCTGAGGCTCGTCCTGTCCTTCCACCCTTCCCACTTCCAAACTCTGGGAACCACTCAGCCAAAACTGGCTTTTTCACCCAGAACTAATACTCAGTACTTACAGCATGACGTCTGTTCAAAGTGCTTTACAAATAGGCATTAATTAATCCTCCAAGTGCCTGCACGTTAAGTAGTCTTAAGCCTGACCTAAAAGTGTTTGTGCCAGCATTCATAGATGGGTAAGGTGCATTTTAACTGGGATAGTTAAAACAGCACAAGCCCAGGTTGTTGACACAGCTCTATGATAATGTTTAAAGATACTTTACAGCCAGCCATCCTTTTCCAGATCCAGCTATGCAAGCTGAAGAACTAACATTCCCAGTTGTTCATTGGAGATCATTGCTCCCCACGGTGTAGTCCAGAAGGAGACCTGGGGTGTATCTCCTGACCTGTTGCAGTTAGCTGGAGTATTTCAAGCCACGTGAGCACCTAACTTTGCGCAGAAGGGCTCTCCTTCCATCCCTCAGCCTTGCTGGGGGGTTGTCACAAGAAGCTAGAGTGACCATACCTTTAGGATAATTTGCAAACGGGAAGGTGTAGAGCTGAGGATAGCTGCCTCACAGCTCCAGCTGTGCTGGAAGAGCCACAAGAAGAGGCTGCTGTGCTCCAGATGTTCTCCCCTCAGACCATCCTGCTGAACTGCTCAGACAAGTCTCCTCCATTTCTGTCCATCGAAAGCATTTTTATTGGCAAAGACCTGCAATTTAAGCTGCCCAATGAACTCGGTGAACATTAACTGAAGTGGTCAGAGGCCTGTGATGAGGAGGAGTTCCTGCAGGAGCTGTGTGAAGGTGAGAGGCAGCAGGTGGGAACAGGTTTGCTCCAGGGCCAGCACAGCCCTTTGTGCAGAGCGGGAGTGACCTGCATGGGGACAACTGCTCTACCCTATGCAGAGATGATTCCCTCTTCTCAGTGGAATAAAAACCCACCAAGCCTGTAGAAAAAACCTCTCAAATATTTGCTGTTTCACATCCCGGCAGGCTGGTTCCCTCTTCTCGGTGGAATAAAAACCCACCAAGCTTGTAAAAAAACCCTCTCAATATTTGCTGTTTCACATCCCGGCAGGCTGTCATGCCACACAGAGCATCTGCCCTGGAGTCCTGCTCTCTTCTGCCACGGGGGTGGCAGCCAAGCTACACGTCCAGCAAAACCCAAAGAAGGTAAATCTTCCCTCTGTTGTCTACTTGTACACCTCCAATGACCACCATTTCCCACTGGAGAGTTGTGTGATGGCACCCTACTTGCATGGCAACAATAAAACCATGAACTACCTGTAGCTGTATCAGAGTTAAAAGAGTTGCGTGGTGCAGTTAATATAAGATTTGGAGAACTGAGGAGGCCTGCCGAGGTGGGCCAAATGAATAATCCTTGAAGCAAGGAGAGAACTGGTTTCCCTCATGTTCCCTCCTGCCTGGAGGAAGGCCAGTGGATTTCATAAGAGCCTTGTAAAGGTCTAGAAAGACTAGCGAAAGTGTGCTTGTGCATCAGCCCAACCTCAGAGCCTTTCAGAGGTCAAGGAATGGCAGCGATGGACTCTACATGTTTTCTTTTCCTTTCTGTTGCCCGTTGCAAGGGGTGACGTTTCTGGTAAGCAGTTGCAGCTGTTCGTATCCCCAGGAGGTCTGTGCTGGCACTTGTTTGTAGAGGCATCAGGATCGTTGCACAGATCATCTCAATACTCTGCAAATCTGTGCATTTTGGGAATTGGTCAGGCTTTGGCATATTTTTTCCATCCCTCCCCTATCCTAGGCAGACTATGGAAGGAGGGACAGGGGCATCATCCTGCTGCTGACCCTCTCCATGTCCTGCCTCCTCAGGGGGAATCTTCAGGGTAGAGGCAATCCTTGCCCTTCCCTGCCCATTGAGAAAAACTTCATAATTGTAGAGAAACCAGGCAGTTAAGACCCAAGAAGAATTTCATTTTGGGGTCAGGAAAGAAAAGAGCCATTCACAGGTTACATAAACTCAGCAGGTGATGGGCAAATTCTTCCTTTGGGTTCTCTGCATGACCCTGATTGATTGCACCTGGGTATTTGCCTGCTTAAGTACTTACTTTGCAGGGAGAGGTGAGCAGTGCTGGGATTGTGTGTAAGTAGGACTGGTTCCAAGCAAGGGCTCTCTGCCTGTGGGCTGGTTTTAGTGCTTTTTATGGTCCTGATGTCCTTAGTTCTTCCCTGTAAAGTTTCAGCTCTCATCTCTGTGCTAAGGAGTCAGATCAGCCCTAGGGTTGCTAAGAAATAGTGAATCAGCATAGTTTAGAATAACAGTTGATTGCAAAGCCACGTTTACTTTAACTTTTTTAGCATAAAAATGTGGATTCAGTGGTGTAAGTTTAGAAAAGCACATGGGCAAGATGCGAAGATGCCTTTAAGCAGAACCAGGTGAGCTAAAGCCCACTGAAGAACAACCACCGTGGCAGCCTCCCTTCAACAGGTAGGTCTTAAATGATGGTTTCTGCAAGGATGTGGTTTATATATTGTGTGGTCTTTGGAACAGATTTTCTTGCAGAAAGTTGCCAGGGCTTCTAAAACTTGAGCAGCTTGGGGTTTTGTCTTGGTCTCTTGCTGTGGTGATCAACAGTGCAAGCCCTTTCCTGTCTGCAGTGGCAGGAAGAGCTGGTTCAGAGCAAGTGGTAGTGCTCCGGGGAAGGTCATAAAGGAAACACGGTTAGTGATGGCAAACAGCCTCTTTGTAAGCTGCAATAATTAGGCACAAGTAAATGGCCATGCAACAACAAAAACCAACTGGGGAAAAAAAAAAAAAAAGAAAAAGGGAAGGAGAAGTCCTGACATTGATCTTGCTGGGCTTGGAGGTGCCTCCCCAGGGAAATGGGTTAGATGGGAGTATTAGCAGGGAGAAACAGCACCGGCAGAACTCACCACTTAACCCAAGTGGTGAAGTGCCCCTGGAGAGAGGCTGTGACAGATGGCTTGAAAGCACAGAGCCCTGCTCTGCTGGAGGGAATTTACCAGGGAATGTAAACAGGGGTGATTCAGACCTGGTAAAGACAAAAGGATGGTGTGGATCAAACCACAGATGAAGCGTCTCCCTGGTGAGTTATACAGGCTTTTGACAAGTGCTTGTGAGAGCTCTCTGGGATGCCAGGCAAAGATTTGTGTCGTTTCATAAGCAATAAGCACTGAAGCCATGTGGGCCTGATTCCTGTGTGGGCTTGCCCCAGCCAAGCCTACCTGTCGGTGGGGGTGTCTGTGGTAGAGACAAGCATCTGCTGGGGAATTTGGCTCATCAGCTCCAGGTGACAGTCCTTCAGCCTCGAATTTCTCAAAAGTTTAAAGACTTACAGTTATATCAAGCAGCTTGGAAAAACTTCCATCAAAACAAGGCCAGCTGCTGTTGTAAGGGTACCTCTGCCTTTCATTCAGAAAGATTGTGTAAAGTCAAGTTCAATTTCTATTGATTTTTGGTTTTAAAAACTTGGAAAGCTCAAACCTCTGCTGTCAAGCTGAGTCCCTGGGTATGCTACAAAACAATGTACTCACTGAATCCAATTTGAAACACTTTAAAGTGGCAAATAACTATAAACTGCTTTATCTGCTACTGATGCTGGGTTTCATACAAGGCAAGCACCTCTGGTCCTCCAGAAGAGGACCAAGCAGGGCTGCAGGTGTTGGGTCCCTCATCACATTTGCAGGATGAAAGCTGTTGTGGCTGGTGCCAGCTGCCAGCATTGACCTTGGCTTGGGGCTATGCCTATGTGCTCCAGCTTCAGGGCACATTGTTGGTTGGGCGTTACTTTTTAAGTCCAAGTAGATGACGATATGATAGTAGGAGCTAGCAGAGAGGCATAATACAGGACTGGAAATGATTTTAGCAAGTCCAACATAGTAGAGGCAGAACAGGGGAGGACTCTTCGGGGAAAATAACATGCAAATCTCAAGAAAATTCACATGTGACTAAAATGCATTTAGATGCCCTCGTTTAGTGCTTATTTGATGAGGTTTACTTCATTTTGGGTGAGGTAATTCACTTTACTTTTAAATAAGAGTTTCTGCTGAAGTGCATAATGTAGTTTAGCCAATCCAATTTAATTTTGTGCTTTTTGCTAACTTGATTTATTCCTCTGAGCAATTTGAGTGGCTCCAGGGAACTTGGTCTGGCTTTATAGAAGAGCTAATGAGGAAAGACTTAGACTAAACACTAAGGTTTTCAGAGGATATTGAGAGATAGTAACGTGGCTAAGGTAGGTATCATTTCCCTGAAATAACTAGGTGAGAAACTGCTGGATCCCTGTGTTCTCATGAAGGTGTCTCTGCAAAGAGCACATAATCATTTTGACTAAGCAAAGATGCTTGGCTGGCTATGGTTGGTTGCAGCAGAAGCTGCTACCAGCTAGAATAAACTTTCCCAGCAGCTAAATTGCTCTTGGCAATATCTTCCCTTTCAAAAGCTCAGTTACCATTGACATCTAGTGGTGAAATCCTGTGCCTGGAGAAGCAGTTTATTGCATCAAAACTGCCTGTGCGACCTCAAGGG